TCAACAATAAAAGTTGTCTAAATCTAAGTCTAATTTTAGCCCTTCTTGAACTTTTAGATATTTTTTCTGTTTGCTTCTGTGTTTCTGTAATTAGAAAATGATTTAACATCTTATTTTGTTTGAGAATTTATAAAAAAGTTTTAAGGATAAATGGATTTTGTATCACGGAATAAATTTTTTTATGATTTTTTACTAATGAAAATCCAACAATTATCCCATGTCTCATAGTTAGAATCCTGAGTTAATAGAAACAGAGCAATGCCCCAGGTTTTAACAAATGTCCAGAACTCTGTCTCTAACAGCTTAAGACTGAAGTCTCCTATAAAAGGACAGGGTGCAGAGGAGATCCTTAGGAAGGCGCACAAACAAGCTGCTTAGTGAAAGAATAAGACAGACTCCCTTCACAATTGAAGCTCTCTCTCACAAAATAGATCAGACGAGGCCGAAGCTGTCCAACCTTCTCCCTGAACCTTTGTTTAAAGAAGTTGTCACGTCTGTTGATAAGGTCCAGCTTTCACAGCACCAGAAAACCAAAGAAATACAAAAAGCTAAATTTAATAAATTACAACAGAAAGCGGCAATTAAACAAGAAACCGTCATACCACAGGAGGAAGCCGCCAACATGGAGGTCCAGGACAAGTGGATTAAAAACCTGTCTAGCAGATTGCTGACAAAACCAGAGATGGATGTTCTGAGTAAAGGCCTGAATTTTGCCATTTCTCCACAAGAAATACCCATTATGGAGCTGATCACTGCCACCGAATCTGCCATCAGGACGACAACTTGGCTGAAACAGAGGCTGAGCAGCTCAGGATGAAAGTAACAGCTACCCTGTCTAGCGCCAAACCACCTCATTCCAATCTCTCATCACTGAAAAGGAAAACCATAACATCCCTTAGCCAGGACCAAAAATGCAATTTTTGGTCCTGGGTAAATCCCAGAACATTTCAAACCAGTGCTAGTGCTCCCTTTTTCTCCAAATCACAGTTATTGAATATTTATGAAATTAATATTTATCAAACATGTACCTTTGTTTTAATGATGAACAAGGTCAGTCTACTGATAGTTTCAAGAAGTATTTTGTTAAGAATGGCCAAGTCCATTCTTATAATACTAGACAAGCGTTGTCTTCATTTACCATTAAGTATTAAAACCCAAGTGCAATTCTCTTTTTGGCATCGTGGTGCAAAACTATGGAATGAATATAGAAAATATTTGGAATCTTAAGAGATAAAAGCTAGAAAGGCTTTGAAAAAAATAGTATTATCCAAAAAAGACAGTGATGTATGATTTTACAAATATTGACTCCCTGAAATCTGAAAATTAAATTGTAAAAAAAATCTTAGTTTACATGTCTTTTCTGTTTTCTCTCTCTCAAATGAAATGTCTTTCATAATGTGAGCTGCCTGATGTTTTGTTGCTTTAGGGGTGTGGCCTTTGGTATAAGCCCTATGGGATTTCTGTCACACTCCATCACATTTCTTATTTTATTGATGTATTCTGAGTTTCTATTTCGATTTCTGAAAATAAAAAATAAAAATAAAAAAAAGGAACTTAACAAGACCCTTAAACATAGACTAGTGCATCCTAAAGACAAAACCCCCAGACCAGATATGAGTGGAGTGGTGTCTGCAATTCAATGCAGTGAGGAATGCTTTGATCTTTATATTGGAGAAACCAAACAACCTCTCCACAGACGCATGGCCCAACACAGAAGAGCGCCCTGCTCTGGACAAGACTCTGCGTTACATCTACACCTTATGGACAAAGGACATTCTTTGGAGGACCAGAATGTTCACATTTTGGATAGAGAGGACAGGTGGTTTGAGAGGGGCGTGAAGGAAGCCATCTATGTAAAAAAAACAAAAAAACAACCTAAACAGAGAGAAGGGTGGGGGGGTGGGGGGGGGACTCAGATTTGAAGACCTTGCCTGTTCAGCCAGGCCAACAATTCCCCCTTTCAGAGACATAGACAGGTATGGGGCATTGCAGGCTAACAAAGAAGCCAAACAACCCTCATTACTAAGAGGTGGACCCGTTCATCCGTTTCAATTTGCATGTTTTCTAAACAAAAACAAGGCTTTGTTGGGCTGTTGTATAAAACCAAGAACTCAACACTATATCTGACATTTTGAATTGAAAAAGCTTCCTGGATGGAAGAGAAACGTCTTCAAACTTGGAAAAAAAGTCCAGTGAATTATTTTTAACTTTTTTGGAATGACTATGACCTGGATGACTGAGAAACTTCTCCAACATCTGTAGCTAAGATTCTGGTTTTAATGCAAAATTACATGGATGCATTTAAGCCATTTTCACTCACTTCACCAGCTCCTATATCCACCAGAATACATATAAAATGTTTCTTCTGACTTATTATTCATGAATATCCTCCCTTATCTTTATTAATGACTCTCCTCACAAACCACAACATGCCCCCATGGTTCCATTCAGCCAAATCAGCCTCAGATTCCCAGAATCAGACTAAGCTCTCTGGGACAGACCAATCTGTGCCTCACTTCCTCTATTGAATGCCCTCATTTAAACTTTGGCACCACAGTCCACAGACAGCTTTAAAAAGATAGTACCTATTTAAATAGTCTTATTTATAATTCTGGGTTGTGATTTCACCTTTAATTTCCACTTTAATCATTGTAAGTATGGTATGATTTGAATAAAAAGCAGCAAAACAAAATGCATTATTATTATTACCAAGCACTTTTTGCTGCAGTTTGGTTCTACCGGCTTTGCACGGGTTGGTTCTGAAGGTAGTGCTTTACCCTGGATTTTATTTGGAGGAATCAGATTCAATGGGGGCGAATCGATTTAATACACCTGTGCGATTATAATTATTAAGAAATATCTTAATTGATTAATTAATTTCCTTCCATTTCTGAATAATTATCTACTTCGTGTTAATTTGCGACTTAAAATCTTCGTAACATACTCTAAATTGTGCTTTGAAAGCTGACAAAGTGACAGCAGCTCTGCAGGGCACTGCAATGCGATCTTAAACCGGATCTTCATAGTGAACTACACACTAATATTCGTTGTGCTTTATAGGCTCTGGTGCTAAACAGAATGGAGGTGATTGTAAACATGGAAAATCTGTCAGTCGGAAAGGACACGTTTAGCTTTTTGCATTTAATAAACAACCGCTGGTTCCGAGAGTCCAGTTTGTAACGTTTCTTCTTCTTCTTCTTATGAGATTTTATGGCGGTTGGCAAACTTGTGAAATGTGCATTACCGCCACCAACTGATATGGAGTAAAGCAAGGAAACAGGAAACGATTCACCCCCCCCCAAAAAAAAAAAAAAAAAAAAAAAAAAAATACAATAAAATAACCTGTGTAACTTAAACCCACATAATACTAAATTATACTAAATTACATTTGCCCGTATAATTTTAATTTACTCTAGGTCATCGTACCTCTGCCAGTTTCTGATGGTCCCATTGGTCTTTCCATCATGCTTCCAACCATCTCCCAGTTCATATCTTTAACATCCAGATATTTTTCTGCAGCCTTCACTATTATTTTGATTTTTTCTGTTTTTTTTGTCGTCTGAGCAGTACAATTAATCACTTCCACCATGAAAAGAACAAAATTTGTCTTTTTAACAATTAGTGAGTCTTCATCAATTTTTGGAGATTTCTCTAGAGGTTTGAAATTTGCCGTGTGTTGAACTGTAGGTTTGGGTTTTTCTGACTGAGATGGGATCCTTTTTGCAGCTTCAGCATAAGTTATTCCAAGCTCAAATTTCATTTTTTTTATTTCTTCAGACCTTTTGCTTGCTTCACAGCCGCGATAAGCAGCAGTATGTTCTCCACCACAATTACAGCATTTTATTTTAGCTTCTTTTCCACATTTACCATATTCATGTTCTCCTGCACACCTTCCACACCTCTGTTTCTCCTTTACAAACGCTGCAATGTGTCCGAATTTTTGACATTTGGAAACTCAATGCTGGTGGATGAGATTTTTCCACATTGTAGCTGATTGGTAACATGAAAATTAGCTGGTCATTGCCTTTTCCTCAATTCAATTATACACAGAAATACTATCAGAATTTTCTCTTCTGTTATTTTATAATACCTTTTACTTTATTAATACTTCCTCACAAACCACACATGCCCATGGTTCCATTCAGCCAATCCCTCAGAATTTCCCAGAATCAGACTAAGCCTCCGACAGACCATCCTGCCTCATCTTATTGAATGCCTCATTTAGAACTTTGGACACTCAATCCACAGACAGCATTTAAAAGATGTACCATTTAATAGTCTATTTTTCATTCTGGGTGTGATTTCACCTTTAATTTCTCACTTTAATCATTGTAAGTAGGTATGATTTGAATAAAAAGCAGCAAACAAATGCATTTTATTATTACCAAGCACTTTTTGCTGCAGTTTGGTTCTAACCGGCTTTGCAGGTTTGGTATGAAGGTATGCTTTAACCCTGGATTTTTTTGGAGGAATCGATTTCAATGTGGCAATCGATTTATATACCTGTGGAATTATAATTATTAAGAATATGCTTAATTGATTAATTAATTTCCTTCCATTCTGAATAATATCTACTTCTGTTAATTTGCGACTTAAATCTTCGTACATTAATTTGCTTTGATGCTGCAATGTCAGCAGCTCTCAGGCACTGCAATGCGATCCTTTACCGATCCCATCAAGTGAACTACACACTAATATTCGTTTGCTTATAGTCCTGGTGCTAAACAGAATGGAGGTGATTGTAAACATGGAAAATCTGTCAGTCGGAAAGGACACGTTTAGCTTTTTGCATTTAATAAACAACCGCTGGTTCCGAGAGTCCAGTTTGTAACGTTTTCATTTCCGCGTCAAAGAAATACGGTTTTGATTTTTGTCGGCTTCTGATTGGCTGAAATGTCTCGATGTTTGTTCTCTGGCTTCTCATTGGTTAATCAGCGCTGAGTGACGCAGTGATCAGACCAATGGGTGGCTGCCACACTATGATTACCAGCCGGGGCCCTGCCGCCTGTGAGCATCTCCTCCTCCTCCGTCCCTCTTTCTCTTTCTCTATCAGTGCAGTCCGTCTCTGCCTCTTTCAGTATCTTTCTGAAGACGCGGCTCGCGCCTCCAACCTAAACGTCCTGCTGTCATTGAGGCGAACAGTGTTCTCGGGGTGCCATGTTGAGGCTGATCTTCTTGGCCGCCCTCGCCGGGTTCAGCCGGGCCAGCGATGTGCTGGAGTTCACGGATGACGATTTCGAAAGCAGGATTGGAGACCATGAGCTCATCCTGGTGGAGTTCTTTGCGCCCTGGTGAGTTTCTGCAGCTTTCATTCTGTAATGGTGCCGCTGGTTAGCAAGCGTAGGAGGGGAAAAAAAGGAATATATATATATATATATATATATATATATATATATATATATATATATATATATATATATAGAAGCATCTGGGGGCTTTTAAAATATTTACACTGACGGAACTCCTTTATTAGTTTTTATTTGGGGAATAATGAACTTATTTGGTTTTATTCTAATCGGGTTTGTCAAATCCTGCTCTTTGGCTGCAGACCATATATAGCATGCTAGCTAGCTAGTTAGCGGTGGAAGCGTGAAGCTTTCCTAACAGCGGGAAATTAAAACAAATTGGTTTATTTGCGTCTTTTCATGGTTTAATTGGACTTAAAGCTGTCTTAATGCAGTCTAGTTACTGATTTATTATCTATTCCAGCTGTTGTGTAGCTCTTTAATGATGCTATAAGGAAGTTAGGGGGCGTGGCACGTCATCGTTGTAACGATCCTATTGGTTGGGGAAGTTTTGGTGTCCAGCTCTGATTGGTCAACACTATATTTCACGTGTTTCTACGGTACCGCTTAAAAAAAAAAAGATTTTCTGGATTTACATTTTATTTGTATGTATATGCAAGGTTTAACCTCTTAAATCATCCCCGTTGAAATGTATTTATGAGCTTTTGAATTAATTGACTACTTTTGAAAACTTAACATTGGGTTCAAACGTATCTTTTTTTTTTTTTTAGCTTTATTTAACCCATAATGTTTCATTCCCATTAATTCTTCCAATATACTGTTATATTAGTGTCTAAATTGTCCTTTATTTCATACATGTAGAATAACAAAGAAAACATATGTAACAGAAATAATCAAACTTCTTTAATCTGGAAACAAGCTAGTGTTTCACTTCATACATGTCGATTAGATAAGTCAAATATCCAAACCATATTTTACATCAATATGTTCATTTTTACAGCTGCTTAACATGTCCTTGGTTTGATTAGTTTATACACTGAGAATATTATTAGATATTACCTATATCTACAGCACTGCAGAGAAAACTCTTGTGCGTTTGCAGAAATAATACAACATGAATAGTGTGCAAATGTGATTTTATTTTTATTCTCTGAAGTGATATAAACCAAATCTTTAAAATAAAGGGGAAAAACATATTTGCACTGCTACGTTTACTTAAGTTTAACTCTATTTAAACACCTCCCTGTGTAAGATGAGTAAACTGGCTTGAAATCTCCTGACTTATCATCTTTGTCCTTTAGGTGTGGTCATTGTAAACGGCTCGCACCCGAGTACGAGGCAGCAGCCACACGTCTAAAAGGCACCGTCGCGCTTGCCAAGGTATTGCATAATACAGTTTGACATCCTGTTTAAAATATCATTCCTAAGTGTTCCTAACTGTGGTGTTGATCCTGTGTAGGTTGACTGCACAGCCAACAGCAACACGTGTAGCAAATACGGCGTCAGCGGATACCCAACCCTGAAGATCTTCAGAGATGGAGAAGAATCTGGTCCCTATGATGGCCCCAGAACTGCAGGTATCCCTAACATTGATCTATTTTATTGGGTTACCATTAGTAAATCATTACTGTGTACATGTAGCTGAAGGCCTCAGAGGTTTGTTAGAAGGACATTGATGGAACAATAGAATTAAAGGAACAGAGCAGAAAGTTGGAGACATTTAAAGCTGGGTCAGATTTTAAAACTTCCTCCCCTTTGAGCACTATGATTATTTACTTATCTGGACATTATGTCTGATTGTAAATATGACACAAATACTAACCTACTAGGATGTTGTCTTAAACTCCTAAACTGACAGGCTGGGCAAGGAGAGTGTTTTTAAATTGGCTCACAAACCAGCCGGGAAGTTACAGTGATAAGATCAAAGGTTGGCATGGTAGCAGAGCAAGTCCTCTTTCGCTTCCTACTAGCTGTGTGGCAGACGCATAAATAATGATGGAGAATGGAAATAACTGAGAGGGCCACATGTAGAGCTGTGTTTACATCACATGATATGAACTTCATTCAAATGGCGTTACCAAGAAGTTTAATATTGGTGTTGTAGAAACATGGTGGGGGCTGTGTCATTCTGTGGTCTTCCTGTTCAGATTCGTCACATCCAGTCTGCAGATGCTTTCTTGACCTCTGCTAAGTAAATGGTAAATGGCATGTACTTGTATAGCGCCTTTATTCAAGTCAGGAGACTTGACCAAAGCTCTTTACACTACATTCATTCACCCATTCACGCACACACTCACACACTGATGGTGGCAAGCTACATTGTAGCCACAGCTGCCCTGGGGCTAACTGACAGAAGCGAGGCTGCCGTACACTGGCGCCACCGGGCCCCCTGACCACCATAAGTAGACAATGCAGGTGAAGTGTCTTGCCCAAGGACACAACGACAATGAAAGTCGGGGTTTGAACCGTCAACCCTTAGATTTCAGGGCAAACTCCTACATCCAAGGCCACTGTCGCCCCAACGCCACTGTCGCTAAGAAAGCATCTAAATTAGCTGTATTGATTGAGGGCTGGTTATCCTCCCGCAGCAGTGGGTCGCAGTTAGCTTGTTGCAGGTATGATGCAGATATTTTTGATTTATGCCCAATATTGAAGCGTAGTCTGTGCTATGTTATTCCACGCCACAACGCAAGATGGACAATCAGGATCTAGCTAGGATAGTGAGTGTCCGTGTGTCGGACGCTGGACAACGCACAGTTCACCTGTGAGTGTTTCCCAAAGACTGGCCAACAGACAGTCTCACAGAGCTATAAACTAGCGTCCTGTAAGGTGTCTGGATAGTGTCCGAGGTGTGCCAGGCGCTGTGGACGGCACTACAGCCAGAGTTTCTGCCATTAGGTACCAAAGAGAAAATACACATAGTGTAGAGTGGATGTAGAATTGACCAATCAGAGGCCTCCTGTCTGCAGTCACCTATATTTTGGGAGAGGTGCAGCAGAAGGGGGCATATTTGCGTTAACTGCAGACGACCTGGATTCTGAGCATAAACCAGGATTTAGTTTGTGTGCACAGACGAGGGGCAGGACTCTAGATTTAGGCAATTTCATCCCAGCGCTGCGTGTCCCGAGCCCGTGACATCATCAATGACCCCTCACCCCCCCACCATGGACTGTTCTCCCTGCTGCCCTCTGGGAAGAGGCTTCAAAGCATTCAATGCAGATCCAGCTGTTTCTGCAACTGCTTCTTCCCAACCGCCATCAGACTGATGAATGCTTTATAAAATGGGTTATTTTATTTTATTATATACGTAGGTGTTCGTCATGGAAACAGCCTGCGTCTGTCGTAAAAATCAGTTTAGGATGGCGTCCGTTTTATTTTCATTTGTTTAAAACAAAATCAGTAAAACAAAAGAAATCAAATATCCCATATTAAAGGTCGAATGTTGCCCGATCGTGTATACAGGTGCTGGTCATAAAATTAGAATATCATGAAAAAGTAGATTGATTTCAGTAATTCCATTTAAAAAGTGAAACTTGTATATTATATTCATACATTACATACAAACTCATATATTTCAGATGTTTATTTTGTTTAATTTTGATGATTACAAATGACAACAAATGAAAATCTCAAATTCATCATATCAGAAAATTAGAATATTGTGAAAAGGTTCAAAATTGATGGCCCCTGGTGCCACACTCTAATCAGCTAATTAACTCAAACCACCTGCAAAAGCCTTTAAATGGTCTTTCAGTCTAGTTCTATAGGCTACACAATCATGGGGAAGACTGCTGACTTGACAGTTGTCCAAAAGACGACCATCGACACCTTGCACAAGGAGGGCAAGACACAAAAGGTCATCGCTAAAGAGGCTGGCTGTTCACAGAGCTCAGTGTCCAAGCACATTAATAGAGAGGCGAAGGGAAGGAAAAGATGTGGTCGAAAAAAGTGTACAAGCAAGAGAGATAACCGCACCCTGGAGAGGATTGTGAAACAAAACCCCTTCAAAAATGTGGGGGAGATTCACAAAGAGTGGACTGCAGCTGGAGTGAGTGCTTCAAGAACCACCACACACAGACGTATGAAAGACATGGGTTTCTGCTGTCGCATTCCTTGTGTCAAGCCACTCTTGAACCACAGACAGCGTCAGAAGCGTCTTGCCTGGGCTAAAGAGAAACAGGACTGGACTGCTGGTGAGTGGTCCAAAGTCATGTTCTCTGATGAAAGTAAATTTTGCATTTCCTTTGGAAATCAAGGTCCCAGAGTCTGGAGGAAAAGAAGAGAGGCACTTCATCCATGTTGCTTGAAGTCCAGTGTAAAGTTTCCACAGTCAGTGATGGTTTGGGGTGCCATGTCATCTGCTGGTGTTGGTCCATTGTGTTTTCTGAGGTCCAGGGTCAACGCAGCCACATACCAGGAAGTTTTAGAGCACTTCATGCTTCCTGCAGCTGACCAACTTTTTGGAGATGCAGATTTCATTTTCCAACAGGACTTGGCACCTGCACACAGTGCCAAAGCTACCAGTACCTGGTTGAAGGACCATGGTATCCCTGTTCTTAATTGGCCAGCAAACTCTCCTGACCTTAACCCCATAGAAAATCTATGGGGTATTGTGAAGAAGAAGATGCAATACACCAGACCCAACAATTCAGAAGAGCTAAAAGCCACTATTAGAGCAACCTGGGCTATCATAACACCTGAGCAGTGTCACAGACTGATCGACTCCATGCCACGCCGCATTGCTGCAGTAATACAGGCCAAAGGAGGCCCAACTAAATACTGAGTGCTGTACATGCTCATACTTTTCATGTTCATACTTTTCAGTTGGCCAACATTTCTATAAATCCTTTGTTTTTATTGGTCTTCAGTAATATTCTAATTTTCTGATATGATGAATTTGAGATTTTCATTTGTTATTTGTAATCATCAAAATTAAACAAAATAAACATCTGAAATATATGAGTTTGTATGTAATGTATGAATATAATATACAAGTTTCACTTTTTAAATGGAATTCCTGAAATCAATCTACTTTTTCATGATATTCTAATTTTATGACCAGCACCTGTAAATGTAAAAAGGAATTTCATGTGTTTTTTTATGTGTGTGATCTGTTTTCTTCTGCCCTGTAAAGACGGGATCGTCAGTTTCCTGAAGAAGCAGGCAGGCCCAGCTTCAGTGGAGCTCAAAACTGAGGGAGACTTTGAGAAGTTTATCACAGATCAGGATGCCAGCGTTATCGGTAAGTGAAGTCTCATTGGTTCCTGCTTTAGTAATGGATTATCTGATGTTTTCAGTTTAGTCTTGATCCACCAAGTTTTCAGAAACCTTTAAGACTTGTTTCCTACATGTGATTCGTCTCCTCAGGTTTCTTTGCTGATGATAAGAGCACAGAGCAGGCAGAGTTCCTGAAGGCTGCCAGCGCCCTGAGGGATGACTACCGCTTCGCTCACACCAACGCTGAGGCTCTCCTCAACAGCCACGGTGGAGAGTGAGTCCGTCCTTCTGCCTTTGAAAGGAAGCTCAGATAGAATGAAGAGCTGCTGAGATTTAAAATAAAAACTCAATTTAATTTTTCTGAAAACTTTGAGTTTTCTCTCTGGGTTGGAATAGTTCAGACCACATATCAGCACACAGCTGATGCAGAGAAACCTTTTCCCTTCTTGTCTGCAGGGGAGTCGTACTGTTCCGTCCGCCACGTCTCAACAACAAGTTTGAAGACAGCTCGGTGAAATTCAGCGAGGACAAGTTCACCAGCAACAAGGTCAAAAGATTCATCCAGGACAACATGTGAGTTTTCTCCCAGACACCAGTCGACAAAACAGCTCCCTGCCGGAGGGCAGCATGGAGACGTTGGTCTGTGGCGTCCCCAGTAACTTGATGGTCCCATCAGAACCGACGTGTTCCAAGATGCAGCTTTCTACTGAATCACTACAAGAATCATCATCATCACCTGCTTAATAAGAATTTTATTTTAGATTAATAAGTAAAATAAAACAAGTGCTGCAGTTTCCTTGACAGAAGTAGATTCATAGATGAGCAGTAATTATTAATCAACCATATATGCCCTGAAATCCATTTTTGACCCCACTGAACTCAAAACAAGGACCATTTCTCAATTCACAAGAACGCAAATATAGACTTGTGTCCTCACCAAGTCTGTTCTTGAGAAGAACACATGAAGGTTGGGGCTCAGGGAGCACGCAGAATAAATCTGGGTCTATTGGAACAGAAGCTAGTCTGGAGATGCATTTCACCTCCTGTTATCAATAGACTCTAGATAATAATTACTTTTTCCATTTATTGGGGGGAATATAACACAGTCGGATGAACTCAAATGAATGTTTTTCCCAAATAAAACAATTAAACCTCCATCAGAGCCAGCGGTACTTCACACACAGCTATGCTGAGAGAGGGCTGCTGCAGACAGCCCAACGCCGGAACTTTTTAAATTGCACACTAAATCAGTAAATGGGCCATAAAGTGAAGCTTAAAGTATGTTTCCACCTCAAATGATCTTAAAACGGAGGGGCGAGAACAACATCCGGTCTTGTATTCTTGTGAACTGGGAAAGGGTTGAGCCTGACGTTTCATGAGAACGTACAAGTACAGATTTGGTAGTGGAAGTCCGTTTGTGATGCTGACTTTCTGTGTTTCCTCTGCAAACAGTGGTTTTGCTTTTAATTTTTTTACTGCCAATAATTACACAAATTTTTTAATATTTAGTTTCTATATTTGCTGGTTTCCTGCAACCTGGGCAGCTTTAGCGGCAGTGGGTGCACCCCCAAACTGACTCTGTTACTTTTCTCTCTCTCTCAGCTTTGGGATCTGCCCCCACCTGACAGAGGACAACAAAGACCAGCTGAAAGGAAAAGACCTGCTGGTGGCTTATTATGACGTCGACTACGACAAAAACTCCAAAGGTTCCAACTACTGGAGAAACAGGTGAGCGTTTCTAACGTCTGCCGACGCCGCATAGCAACGGCTTTGATCAGTCACGGCTGGTCTGTATGAGCTACATGGTCAAGAACTGATGAGTCATGAATCTCGTTCAGGGTGATGAAGGTGGCTAAAGGCTTCCTGGATCAGGGGAAGAAGATGACCTTTGCTGTAGCCAACAAGAACCAGTTCAGCCACGACCTGTCTGACTTTGGTCTGGACGGCGGCTCAGGAGAGCTTCCTGTCGTGGCGATCCGCACCGCTAAGGGAGACAAATACGTGATGACGGAGGAGTTCTCGTAAGTCCAGATCTGATCTTCAGACTCCATCTTTAATAAACGTCCCCTATGATCAGCCGCTGCTCTCTTTGGTCTGCTGTGGTCGCTGACTGTTCTGATGGTTCTCAAGCAAATCAGAGCAGCTGGAAACATGTTGGTTTCATCACAATAAGCTGCAGCTCTTCCCCCATTGATGGTATTTTTTGTTTTCCTGTTTGCAGCCGAGATGGAAAAGCTCTGGAGCGTTTCCTGCAGGACTACTTTGATGGCAAGTTGAAGCGCTACCTTAAATCAGAAGCAGTCCCAGAAGACAATGATGGACCCGTTAAGGTGGGAAGATTCTCTATTGATTAATGCAGACTTAACCACCCCCCATGGCCGTACTCATTCGTCCTTTAATGGAGTTCTGTTTGTTTACTGAAAATAATTGAATAGTAATACATTTTATTTCAAAGGCGGGTTAATGGACACTATAGGTCATCGTACAAAATATTAAAACACAATTGGAGAAACAAAGTCAAAACACAGAATAGTTAATGATGGTAGATAATTAATGATGGCTGCCGGCTCAGAAACCTTTCTGCTCAGGGTCCTAATGCATGACCACATTTGGAGGGAAGGTAAACAGGTGGTTGGAAGATTGGTTTTACAAACTTTAAAGTGCTATATCACAGGATCAAACCCGAGGAAGGACCCAATAGTTAAAATGATTGTAGGTTAAAAAAATACAAATTTTTCGTGAAATTAAGATTACTTTTTTTTTTTCCTTGTCTAAGTATATTTATGCAGATTTTTCATTAAAGATTTTTAGCCAAGGTTGCTTTTTGCCAAAGTAACTGGAAGTTATATTGACTTAAAAATTAAAATACCTTAAGAGATAAATAGTTAATTTGCATTTTCACCAACGGCTGAAAACTGCTGTCTTCCTTCCACTCTGAGCGTTGTTTCTGTGAGCTTGTTAGATATGATGCATCCAGCGATCATTTTCACGGCCTCCAAAGACCGATTACAGGATGACGTCCACATCATTTCAGATCTGAACATCTCCAGACTGAGCAGAGCCTCTGGATGTTTAAATCACACCTTTGTCTGTGTTTTCCTCAGGTTGTGGTCGCTGAGAACTTTGACGCCATCGTCAACGATGACAGCAAAGATGTGCTCATTGAGTTTTATGCGCCGTGGTGCGGACACTGCAAGAACCTGGAGCCCAAATACAAGGAGCTGGGAGAGAAGGTGGGAGCAGCTTTTTATTTATGTATTGCTGTACTGTTACACTTTTAGCCTCTGGCTTTGATTTATTTAATGTTTAACGCACAAGAGAGTCAAACTACTTTATTTCTTCACATTCGACTAAATTCTCAATTTTTCTGTCTTAATAACCAAATGTGACGTTGATTCTTCGCCTGCAGTGGTGTTGCATCATGGGAGTTTGATGTCAGTTGTTCCATCTTCCTGTATTATTTACGAAAACCACTTTTAAAATGACCCTGAAATCAAAAACGGCTGTTTTATTTTTATTTTAGCTTGTTTTTGTATTAAAAAAGATGAACACACATTTGAACAAACCTGAACATTAGAAACTAGCTAATTGGAAACGAAGCATCATCTATTGTTTTATTTTGTCTTAAACTAGATGGTAAATTTACTGATGAGGATCTAATTGACCACATGATTATAATGAGTTTATGTTAAGATAAATATGCTAAGGATGTTATTTATTAACAGACTGAAAACTGTCCTTTAGTGCAGGCTGGACCCCCAGAACCTCAGTCCTGATGTCATGGAGATCCTTAGCTAGTTTTAGTAGCATATTTTGTTTTTAAGCTAAGGATGCAGATTATTTATGTTTAAAAGTTTTGCAGGAAGTTCAGTTACTTTGCTGCACTGATGTGTTTATTTTTTATTTTTTAAGGAACTAGACACATTTGGCTGGTATTTATCAGAACCAGAGTTTAACAGCCAAATCACATCATGTTGCCTTATTTGAATAAAGGCAGCTAATGGTGGAAAAAAAAACTAAACATTTTTTATTTTTAATGACTATCCCAATTCTAAACTTACATTTTCTTTTTGCCTGACCTATTTTCAGCCAAATGATTTCAAACACGTTCTCCTATTTCTATATTATCTTATCTTTGCTTCATAATAACTTATGAGTTCTTTGGAAATACAGAAATTATAAGATAAAAGATGCTAAAGATTGAAATAATGTCTGTTTTTCCCTCTGAATACCTCATTTTATTTTCCTTTTTTTGAAGAAGAACCTTGTTTTTAATAATGAAGTAAAAACAAAATCTTTAACGGCCACATTTGCTTACCTCTCATTGTGCAGCTGGCCGACGATCCAAACATTGTTATTGCCAAAATGGACGCCACAGCGAATGACGTTCCATCGCCATATGAAGTCAGCGGGTAAGTCTGTTAACTTCATTTTTTTTTTTTTTTCTCCTGCTTCCTTAACATTTAAGAGTTTTAAATGTAATCCTGAATGTTTTCCTCAGATTCCCGACAATCTACTTCTCCCCTGCTGGACGTAAAATGAACCCAAAGAGATACGAGGTGAGCTGCTGCCTTTTGTAATCAGATTACCTTGGTTGATGTCTGCGCTCTGCCGGCCGTAACATCGGGCTGCTTTCTCTGCAGGGAGGTCGTGAGGTGAGCGACTTTATTTCCTACCTGAAGAAGGAGGCCACCAACCCTCTAGTTGTCCCAGAGGACGCCAAGAAGAAGAAGAAGAAGAAGGATGACAAGGCAGAGCTATAAAGGCTCCAACCAGAAACTTAACACCCCCCACATCACAACAGGAGGAGGAGAATCGGGGGACAGAAAGAACTCAATTATATTCCACTCGTAGTGAACTACCAAAAGCTCTGAAGCCGAAGTCCCAAAGACTCGGCGACTCTTTAGGTCCTCTGCTGCTCTGGAATCCTGTGGAGAGGTGGTGGCCAGGGTCTGCCCGCCGTTTAATGACAATAAGAAATTTTTAGGGAAGAGGGACAGCTTTTTGAAATGAGACTTCTATTTCCTCTGGTCTGTCTATTACACCTCAGGCTGATGCACTTTGGTTTGATACCAGTTTCCAGTCATCTTTCGCCCATTTGTGTCCTCATCATGCGGGATAACTTTTTTTTTTGTTTTTTTTTTCTTTTTTTTGTTGTTGTTTGTAACTGGTCTTTGTTTTTGTACATTTGGAAGGATTGTGAAATAAAAGGCCCACAAAAGTTAAATGCCTATCTTGTTTCTGAAGTTTTATTCTGACAATTTGAGGCCTTTTTATTTTTAGAAATCTGATATTTAGTTTCAGGAGCAAGGGATTTATTTATAGTCTGTCCTGTTTTTAACATTTTATCTGAATCTCTTTTACTTGAACCATGATGTGAAGATCATCTTCATCAGAAATCTTTATTTCATTATGGAGAAACTTTCTGGCACAATACCAAAACACGTCACTAGGTGGTGCTGTCTTTTCCTCAAAGCACAATAACGAAAAGGATTACCTAATTTTCTATGAATTAATGTTTCTGATAAATAGAATCCGCTTAACATCAGAGTTGGGATTAAATGTTTAAAAGGTTTGCAGTATATATCAGAAACAGAAATTATTTTCTTCATACCTAGCCGTTTCTAGACCTTATTCTATTCTGGTTGAAGAGTCTCAGTCAGCCAGGTCATTATCATTCCAAAAAAGTTAAAACAATCCACTGGACTTTGTTTCCAAGTTTGAAGGCGTTTCTCTTCCATCCAGGAAGCTTTTTCAATTCAAAATATTAAAAATGGGGTTGAGCTCGAGGCTTTATAGAGCTTTTCCCCCCCTGGATATTTGCATTTTTTTTCTACTTCAAGTTTCTTGCCTGAACATACACCGGTAATGTGGATAAAATTGGAATCTAACTCACAACTTTCTTACTGCGGTTTCACTTCTGCCATTGAGCAACTCAGTAAAGTAAATAAAGCAGAACCTGGGATTTATGAATTTACAAGTGTAAAATGTTAAGCACACATCAAATTTAAGCTACAAAAGTAATTTCCCAATGTTTAATACATAGAATATTGTTACCACACATTGCTATATATAGTATATACAGTGTATAGGCCTATTAGAAAGATTTGCGATAAATTTAGTCGACATAAAGAGCCTTTTGATGCATACGAGTATTAACTTTACGCCGCAATACCGCATCCCATCGCTGGGTGGTGCTGAAGTCTAGCGCTCCTTCTGATGAATAGTAAGCGAAGAAGAGGAGAAACCAATCAGCTGGATGTAGCTGAGATCCTGTCCGGGCATGTCCTGCGCTCTGCCTGTCCACGTGCTGCTACAGACGGTACGGCCTAATAAGTGTCTTTTTTTATTGTTATTCATTTTAATCGTTACTATAACAGAAATATTGGAAACATGAGTTGACTTTTACTTCTAATCTAGTTTCTTGTTAGCCGGCTGTTTTGCTTTGTAGCTTAGTTTTTCATGTCACTGAACCAATTTCCATTCATATATATGTTTTTTTTAAGTTAATTGAAGCTAAACACACATTTTTTAAATAAAATTACTCTTAAAGTTGTGTTTTTATAAAGTACTCGGCTTAGTGTTCACTTCCGCATGTGTTCTTCTTGCTATTATTATTGTTATGGAAGCTAAAACCTGTTATGTGACTGTTGCCTTTATGCAGTTTAAATCAATCTATATCTTTATTTAGACACAATTATGCTCCATAAACAGACAAAAACAAGAACATTAATATAAAAGAGAAAAATATAAAAAATGATAATATATATATAAAATAATCATTTGATCATAGATCACATCTGAACTCCATAAAGACTTATACTTCTGAATTAGCCTTGGATTATAGGCGTTGGTATAAAGCTGTTTATTTTAACTCTTTGTTGCTGTCCTCACATTGCTGTCTCTGTAACAACCAGTGACTGAAATGTCTATAATTCCTGCTTTCTGAATCTAACCTTTTCTCTCAGATATGATCATGAGACACTTGTTACATGATGTCCCATCCATCGAAAAGAAATCCAGCTTCTTCCTCACGGGGCCTTCTAGGTAACTACAGGTATCTGTGCAAGAAAACCAAACTGATACGTTCAATGGAGCATTCGAGAGCCAGGAAAAAACCCCAGGATATGAGGATGGTCTCCAACAGGAAGACGAAACTAAGCAGCTTTCCTAGTGAAGCCCTGGATGCAAACACGCCGATGAAGAAGGCTAAACTAGCAGATCCAGACCTGCAGTGCCAAAGCACTATCAGCTCTGCCTCAGAGCCTGATCACCACAGCGTGGTTACTGCCCTCAGAGACAGCTGGGAGGTGGACAGTGGCTTCTCTGAGAGCAGCCCCCCAGCCAGCGGCCGGAGTTCTCCCTGCCTCGCATCAGGCTCCGCCTCGGTGGTGGCGTTGGACTGTGAGATGGTGGGCACTGGGCCAGGGGGCCGCTGCAACGAACTGGCCCGCTGCAGCATCGTTGACTATCAGGGCAACATCTTGTATGATAAATACGTCCGACCGTGTCAGCCTGTCACTAACTTCCGGACGCCCTGGAGTGGCATCCGCAGGCATCATCTCCACAACGCCACGCCCTTTGCTCAGGCAAGGGAGGAGGTAAGACCTGCTTGGATTGACATCAAGATCCAGTGTTTGATTTTTATGCTTTAGAATATTTTTCTGTCTGGTTTAAACATTTATATTCTGATGTCAGGGCTTCACGTCTCAGTTTTTAAGCATAGGGACTATTTGGGGCAGATATGACTGTGGAAATGATCTCTCTCTCTCTCTGCTGCAGATCCTGGCTATACTTGAAGGCAAAGTGGTGGTCGGTCACTCCGTCTATAATGACTTTGAGGTGCTGAACATGGACCATCCCGGCCACATGGTCCGAGACACGAGTTCCACCCGTCTGCTGAGCCGACTGGCTGGCCTGCCCCGCGGACGCTGCTCTTCTCTGAAGCTGCTGGCAAATAAGCTGCTAAACAGGCGGATACAGGTGAGACGTATTGTAGATTACCTAAAGATGAACATTCTGGATCCAAAACATACCAGAATAGAACCGTTTCTGAGTGTCTCTGGGTCAGTTTACTCTTCCACAGCTCAAGCACAGTTTACCTACTTCTGTTTTATACCCAGTGATGCTCCAGTGCTTTAGGCCAGGGTTCAGGGTCCCTGCAGAAAATGGCGCGGCCTTCTGTAACGTTGCAACACAAGCTCTGTTTCCATTAATCAACAAATTGTAATTCTGAAAATAAATTTGCCAAATAGAAATGCTATGCTATAATTTCAAAAAAACAAACTCAACATTTTACCAATTTTTATGCTTTAAGTAGTTTTTCAGGTGCGATGCAAACAGTTTTCACATCAGGTGAGTCACATGCTTTGCTACTTCACTACCTTGTATGAAGAAAAAGAAGAGCGGAAGTAGTTGGAGAGTGATTTGGATTCATGGGGGGCTGGAGTATTTTTTTTACATTTAGATCAACATGATGAGCATTAGAGCCATGGCTGGATCTGTGGAAGTGTTAACATCCGCCGCTGCCATGTTGTTTTCATAAGTTATGGAAGAACAAACATGTTCATGTGCAATTTGATTTTTCGTATTCAAATGGAAATACTGCTATTGCTGAATGTTGCATTTCAAAATCAGCAGAATAGTGACAGTTTTGCTCACATATTTGTAATGGAAACAACTGGAGACTCTCCTACAGGCTGGAATTGTCGAGAACACTGCAGTGAATAAACCATAACCTTCCTTCCTTATGAGACAGCATATTCTCCCACTCTGCAGAATCTGTTAGTTCAATCTCTAACGTTCAGCTGTCTCATTTTTTCCTCATAGTAGCTTCATCTGGTCTGTTCCTGTTTGGCTGTGACTCCATCCTGGAGAGAAATATCAGCTGTGCTGCTGCCATCCAAACCTTTGTTTCTAGATGTTGGAGCTTGGTCTGTTTTTCAGTGTAGTCCTGTTTCTCTGACTGTGACTAACTGGATGTGCTCTCTTCATCCTCTGACATGGGAGCTGGCTCGGATGACCCAGTGAATTGTATAGTGCCTTGAGATGACGTGCTGTGAATTGGCGCTATAGAAATATAGAATTGAAATTGACATGAAGAGCATTAATGAAACATGGTGCTAATTTTACATCTCTGGGGGGAAAAGGGATTTTTCAGAGATGGAAACAAAACACTGAGTCTCTGTTTGCTGGCTTATCGCTGTCTGTTTTTGTGTCCAGGCTGGGAGGCGAGGCCACTGTTCAGTGGAGGACGCTCAGGCTGCCCTGGATCTCTACAAACTAGTGGAGGGCGAGTGGGAGGAAGAGATGGAGAGAAGGATGAGAGACGACGACGAAGCTGCTCCACAGGAGCCAGCCTTCCTCTCCTCTGATCACTACATGCAGGACGAGTTCTGGCCCGATGAGGTCCTGACAGACGGCCTATAAGGACAATTTATGATTCATTTAGTGGAAAATATCCCACTGAGGGTCCACAGTCACCCAAGGCTCAGATTTAACACATTATGGTGGAATAATGAATAAAAACGCATCATTAGCTGCGCTGCAGCAAACAGAGCAATAGTTTCTACATCACAACAACTTCTGGTTTTGATGCCAAACTTCAGATTCTAAAGATTTTTGTTATATTTATTTATTTGGATCAATGCTGAGGATCAATGGTTCTCTATCATCTTTAAAATGTTAAGTTATGAGTTGATCAATGAAAGTGATGCAGAGTCTGCAATGAATTTATCCTTCAATAGATATCAATGTTAGAAGATGTGGTAAAA